TTAAAACAAGGACAATCCCCCAAGACCTCAGTGGACTTTAAATTTATTGACCAACAATCTAATTCTAACTTCCTCTGACAAAGCAGGGAAAGAGCCCAAAAGAGTTAGGCATCAGGCCCAGTCCTGGCCCCAACCTAAGGTCCCACGCCGAAGTGCAATTCAACTCAACAAACACTTACTGAGCACCTGTCAGGTGTGAGAGGCCCACCTGGACAGGAGCACACCTGTGATGACCCTTTAGCTACAACTGAAATAAGACCACGGGGCTCCAAAGTCAAACAATATTTAGACATTTGGCTTGAGTTTGCCATTCCTCTTCCACAGACCTATTATGTGAATAATAGAAAGACACAAGTATAGTAATTACTTTGATCCTTTCAAAGCAGATTCACACTAGCGGGGTGAGGGCGGTCTCCCATAATCCTTCAGCTTGCCAAGATCATTAACTCCAGGTAGACTGAAAAATGGGGCGGGAGAGGCAGGGGGCATCCTTACTGCAACTTTTCACCAGCTGGTCACCAAGAGAGTGAGAACACGATGTTGCCCAAAGCAACCTCCCCGTGGCACCCAGCCACCAACCCATCAGCACCCTCTCAACTCCGGCCTGTTGATGGACAATCACACCAGCTGGACAGGCCTCCCCCACCCCAACACCACCGCTCATGCACGCTGCTCCAATCTGTCCCATCTCTGGCTGCTAAGCAGCAGCCCTTGCCAACATTTGAAGGAGGGGAGAAGGGCGAGCCGTCTGGCTCCACTGAGAAAAACTCGGAGACCTAGATACAAGGTCCCTCTCCCTCCAGAGAGAGGATAAAACTGCTGGTGTTGTGGCTCTCCTGGCTCCAAGGAAATGGCCTACGAGGCTTATGGCAGGAACTTGATGGCCAAAGAGAAGGAAAGATACCACCCCTTGTTCCAAACAAAATCACAATTCATTGTAGCACTTGTGGGAACACGGCTTCTCATGGGAACACAGACTCTCGTGTGTTTCTGTCCTGACTCACTGAGGATGCGGGAGAGCCTATCAGGATGGTGGCAGAGATGCCTGGGAGGGGCACGGCTAGAGGGCGGGGCCATGGCACACCACCTCAAGGAGGAACTAGGTGGGGTGTGAAAGCACCACCCCACCATCTGAAATTCAGGTTGAGCTGCTCATCCTATATTTCATCTGCAACCCTGGCTAATCCCAGCAACAATTCCAGGGCATACCTGTTCTCTCTCGCTCACGCTCTCTCTCTCATCCTCATTGCATTATCATGGATAAAGAGCATGATCCTGGGTCACACTGCCTGATTCAAATCCAAGCTCTCAGCTGGGAGCCCCGGGTAAGAGATTCCTCTCACCAGGGCTACTATTTCTTTATATAGAAAATTAAAATAATAAAAATCATAGAAATAAAGCAGCACTCATAAGTAAAATGGAACTAATAACATCATTGACATATAGACTGACCATTTGCCAAGAACTGACTTATGCCTCCTGACAGCTGGGAACTATTAGGATCCCTACAATCACATGAGGCAGAGGAGGTTAAGTAATGAACGGCCAGATAGCCAGTAAGCAGCACAGCCAAGGCTTCAACACAGCCAGTGTGGCTCTCCAGTCCCTGAGCCTGACGACAGCACTGTCCCCAGGGAGGGGCTTGCCACCTACGACTGCTGCAGGGGCTGAATGCAATAATGCAGGGAAAATGCTCAGCACAAAAACCAGTCTAAAGACTATAAATGCCAGATAACACCTAAATGTATTATGTGTCTATTTTTACTATTAATGGATTTGAGAAAAGAGTTTGGAGCAAAGTCTTACGATCTCAACCCTAAAGTTTCTAGGGAATTGAAGTCCAATTTACCCAGCGCAAAACTGTGTACATAGATGTGTCGTGAATGGATAATAAAATGTGCGTGAATGGATAATAAAATGTGCGTGAATGGATAATAAAATGTGCGTGAAGTAGGTGCTGAGTACCCAGGGGGACCACATACATAACAAATGGCAAAGGGGAGCCTTCCCCAAAACCAAAGGCTCCCCTCAACCTTCCCACCTGGTCAGGAAGCCTCTAAATTTCAATCCAATTCAAAAACCTGCATACATGGATTTCGTGTGTATACAGGTCTGTGTAGAGAGAATTCTGCCACCAAATTGGGGGAAATAGCAGGCAAGGAGGTGGGATTCCAGTTAACCAGGAGCTCAGAGGTCCAGGGAGGGCAGAAGCCAGAAGGATGGAGGAGACTGCATAGAGAGCACTGCACCCAAGGGTGACTGAAAGGCTGAGCTGAGCCAGAGCTGGGAGAGGGAGCAGAAGCAAGCACCCAGGAGAAGCCGGGCAGGTTCAGGGAAAGACAGGTCAAGGTGGAGCACAGGTGTGGGTGGATGTGCAAGCAGACAAAGCAGAGAGATGGAACAAGCCGTGGAGCATGAGGAAGGCTGTGCCAGACACTGAGACTTGACTCGATTAGAACTGGTGAGCCATGGAGACCTGAGGAAGGGTGACAGGATCTCAACGATGATTTAGGAAGATGATTCTGGGGGGCAGCAAGAATTAACTCAGGAAATGGCTACTAAGTGCTGACTCTCCGCCGGGCACTAAGGGTTGCATAAACAAGACAGGCAAATTATCCATCCAGGAGGCACTGACATGGGAAAATAAACCAGAAAACAAGTAAATAAGAAATTCAGAGACCCATGAATGAGATGAAGGAAATGAAACGTCCTGGGATGGGTGATGGGGAGAAGCTCTTTTATTTGGGTAGTCAAGGAAGGCTTCTCTGAGGAGGTGACATTTGAACTAAGATGCATGATGAGAGAGCTGCTATTTCATTCCAAGTGAGAGAAGAGCGAGTAAAATTCCTTGGTCCCTGGCAAAAAATAAAAAATGAGCATGGCTGAAACCCAGTGACATAGGCAGGGGAGACCCCAGGGAGAGATGGGAGGGCTAGGTCCCCTCAGACATGAGCGAGTGAGGATTTGATTCCTTTACTGGGGAGCTGGGGAATGATGGCATTTGCAAAAGCTCCTGTGGTTGCAGGAGTGAAGGGGTGGAGGTGGGGGTGAGGGGTGGAGAGGGGGCTGGGCAGGTAGGGAAGGGCAGGCGGGAAAGCAGAGCCGCCCAGGTGAGCTGCGCAGGTGGCAGCAGCGCAGGTGAAGAGCATGGGTCGCAGCGGGATACACGCTGCAGCCCGCGATGACAGGCTGGTGATGGGACGGACGAGTGAAGAGCGCAGATGCCTCTCCCGTGGCTGCTGAACGACACACCACAAACTAGGTGGCGTGAAACAACAGAAGTGATTCTCCCACGGTTCAGGAGGCGGTAAGTCCAAAATCAAGGCGAAGGACAGAACCGGAGCTGCAGCAGTGGAAACAGACACACGTTGATGCTCAACGACACACACCTAAACTCACAGGCTGCGCTAATGCAATGTCACGTCCACAAAAATCCTCTTTAATGAAAAATAAAGAAGGTTTAAAAATAGGTAAATATCCAAGTGAAAAAAGTCTCTGGCGGAAATAAGACCGCAGAAGTATAAACTGGGCAAAGGATGTAAATGGCATTTGCGAAAGCTCCTGTGGTTGCAGGAATGAAGACGTGGGAAGGGAAGTATGGAGTGGAGAGGAGGTACGTAGTGGAGGGGGGGGTGCGGAGTGGAGAGGGGGCTGCACAAAAGAAATTCCAGGGGACCAAGGAAACGACCAAATGTTTACAGAGAAAAGCCAGGAAAATGGACACCAGGCTCAGGGCACAGACACCACCCAGCCCCAGCCCTGGGTGGCACCACATCACCTCCCTCAGTGACACTTCGTCCTCTGGACGGCTGAGACCGGCGCCGAGCTCCTGGAGGAGTGGCAAGGACGGCAGGTGCTCACAGGCGGGCAGGCATGTGCCACAAGACACAGGGTGGCCGCCACTAGCACAGCTGCCACGTGTGCAGCCCGCTGGAAGCTGCTCCTGAACATGAGTCCCTGGAGCAGGGACTTGCGACAGTGTCTGCACATGTGGCTTCTCCACGACCAACACCTGCGACCTCAGTGAGAATGCACGGCTGCTTTGATTAAAAAAGTAAATCAGTGCAAGTCCCAGTGTTGCAGCACCAGACCGCAGTAGCCAAGCAGGAATAGAGATGAATGTCAGAGGGAAGCCAGCAAATTCAGGGGACAACAGAAATAAAGATAAAAAGCTGTCGTTAGGGCGCCTCCCTGGTGGCACAAGGGTTAAAGTCTCAGCGCTATGAAGCTAGTTCCAGGCACTGCAGCACGAGTTCAAAACCCAGCCAGGGAGTTACCCACATGATGCAGCAGACCTCTCGGCTCACCCGCTGCTCCCCTCAGCAGTGTATTTTGGTCAATCTGCCTGTTCTGTTCCCCGCTCTGTCTCTGGGGAATCCTCTTACCCCCCACACCTCTGGCCTACATCCTCGTTCTTCTACACATAAATATTAAAAAAAAAAAAAAACCTATTGTTAATATCAGAGGGAGAGGCTGTGTGGAATAAATCCATGAAAGAAAGGACCAGATGCTGGAAGGAAAACAGTGGGAGAACAGGAAAGTGTGCTCAGAAACTAAAGCTACTACGGCCAAAAAAAAAAAAGGAACATTTGCTCTTTTCATGGTGTTAAAGTCAATGAAGTTTCCACCATGCAGAACAAAACAGTGAAGATATTATGAAAATAGAAAGAGAGGAGCAAGGAGAATGAGAGGCTGGGGCCAGGAAGTCCAGCAGCCAGCTAATCAGCCTAATAGAAAGAGGACAGAGGCCATGGGGACTGCTCAGGGAACACAAAATAACATTGACCAGAACTGAAGGCCGCTGGTTTCCACGTCAAGAAATTGCAGAATGAGTTTATTTAGCAATGTGGGAGAAAACTCCTCAAGCCACAGACCAAAGTGGTTACTTCTAGAAAAGACCACAGATCCACAGAAGGGGGCCAGGGAGGATGGCTGGGTTTGTTTTTTTTTAATTATTATTATTTCTTTTTAAGCCATTTCTTAACGTTTATTCTTTCCAGGTGAGTGACCTATTATTCTGATGAAATACACATTGGTTCCAAGAACCCGGCCTGAGCTGCATGTGCAACAAGCCGTTCGTGCAGACGCGACAGTGTGTGCTGTTCCTGGAGCTTCGGGTCTATCTGATAAAAGGAAAGCAGGTATTACAGTCATTTCACGTGCTGGACAACCGGTGCAACTGCCAAAATAACAAGGGAAGTTCAGGATATGTTAAGTGAGAGAACACGTTTTAAACAGTATGTATAAGGGCCTCCCTGGTGGCGCAGGTGGCGAACTCATTACCACCACGATGGCCTGAGTTCGATCCCCGGCCAGGGAGCTACCCATACAGCACAGCAGACCTCTCCTGTCTCCCCGCTGCTCCCCTCAGCAGTGTATTTCAGTAGATCCACCTGTTCTGCTCCCCACTCTGTCTCTGGAGAATCCTCTCACCCCCTGCACCACTAGCCTACACCCCAGCTCTTCTACCAAAAAAAAAACAAAAATTTATAAAAAATATGTATAATGTGACTCCATTTGTAAAAAGTATACACGATCGAAGAAAGCAGAGAGGACCATGCCCCTGGGAAGGACTGCTAGGGGGAGAGGGAAGGTGATTATCCTGGAGCAATAGCAGGGACACCCAACATGTGTTGCTGGGTACCCGCCTCCTGGGGGAAAACTGTCCCAAAACCACAGCACTCAGGTTCGTGGACTTACACCAAGCCCAAATCCCCGCGTGCCCTCCACCCACTTCCCTGGTTATGAGATAGCAATCAAGATGGATTGGCATTCACCGTGTGCCAATCAATCACCCAACTAACAGCCTCAAATGGGGTCACTATAAAAGAGACAATTCCATTTTACAGATGAGGAAACCACAACTTACGAAGTCTAAGGAGGTAGCCCAAGTTCACACAACTAATAAGCAGAGCAACCAGGAGCACCCCCGAGCCAGAGGACTCCAGGCCTCATTCTACTCCATGAGACCGGCCAGGGCGAGGCTGGCTGGAGGAAAGGCTGCACCACTCGGGGCCCAGCACCCCCACCACGCCGCCCTCAGCTCACCCCACGCTGCTGACGGTTTGAGACATTTCCTGACATGACTACATCCTGAGAAGTTCGTCATAATTAAATCGCAGGGAAATTTTCAAAGTGCTTCAGAGATGTAATGAGTTTACATTCAATTAGTTTCTTCCTTCACTGGGAGAATCAGAAAGCCCGATTTCCTTAGAGATTCAGAGGGGAGGGTTTCTCACTGCCCGTCTGGAGATTTCTTTGCGTTTTCAGGGATGTAAATCAGCACATGCCAAAGTTCTGGAAAAACCGGGCTGGGCCGAAAGGCAGCCCTCCCCAACGTAAACCTCTAATGCACATGCCACACTAGAAAAATCTGTCAACAAATGAAAATCTCAAGTGTGAAAAGGAAAGCCTCTGTCTTCTCGGTGCTTCTAGTTTGAGAGGAAGAGAAATAAACAAGCACTAGAATCTACGGCAAAGTGCTATAAAGAATGAGCAGGGAGAGCTACAGATGTTTGTCAAGGGGCACTAACCCCCCACTTGGAGGGGGCTGGTAGATTAAGAAGGAGAAAATGAGATGTAAGTTTCCTTAAGGAGCAAACTCGATGGCAAGGACCTGGAAGGGACCGAGTGACAGAGTGAGCACAGCCCCGGGTCTGGGAACTAGGCCCACGGCGGGAAGATCAGGTTAGAGGAAATGACAGGCTGACTCTCCCCTTGGCCGGTTGCCAACCGTTTGCCTCCTCACTTAACCTGCACAGTACCAGGAGCGTTCCTGTTCCTAGCCAACTGGATGCCAACTCTCCATGAGGGAGAGGATCCCGCTTTCCAGGCGCTACGTGAGATGATGTCCCACTTAGGGTTCTCCACAGTGATTCATGAAATGGAAGGAAGGCATGAAAATATTTATATTCTCAAACGGCAACTGGGGATACAGGTGCCTAGGACCTATCCTTCCTTTTCTACTCTTCCATCTATCCATGCATCTATCCATGCATCTATCCATGCATCTATCCATGCAACCATGCATCCATCCATGCATCTATCCATGCATCTATCCATCCATCCATCCATCCATCCATCCATCCATCCATCCATCCATCCATGCAGCTATCCATCCATGCATCCATCCATCCACGCATCCATCCATCCACGCATCCATCCATCCACGCATCCATCCATCCACGCATCCCTCCATCCATGCATCCATCCATGCAACCATCCATACATGCAACCATCCATCCATCCATAAATCATGCATCCACCTATTCATCCATACAGCCATCCACCCACCCATCCGTGCATCCATGCACCCACCCACCTAGCCATCCATCCTGCATCCACTCACCCATTCATTGCAGCATTTATCTGTTCACTACATAGAAGAAAAAAGTTATTGAGACTTTCCCATATGTCAGGAACAGTTCCTTAGTGTCTTTCCTGATTTACTTTTTAAGATTGCAATATTCATGACTCTCACCCTGCCAGGAATTTTTGTTTTCTTTATTTAGTGTTTTATCACCAGTCCCTAAAATAGAGCCTGATATACCCCCTGGGGGTGGAGAGGAGGGAGAAGAGGGATTAGGGGAATCGAGAGGACCATGGAGGTCCCTGCCCTTGTCCAGGGCCCCAAGGCCCTAAGCAGCCCATGGAAAGGCCAGACAAAGGAGTCCAGCATGGAATTCCGTACACCTGCACCTGCTATATGCAAATAATAAAACCTACAGCTACAGGATTACTTGTGAGAGTCAGATGAGGCAATAGATGGGAAAGCACTTTGAAAAATATGAAGCAATAAACCAATGCCACATAATAATATTTGGGACTCAGGAGCCCCTAAGATATAAGCGCTCCCTGTAGTAGTCAGCTCAAGGACAGCCCCCCACCCCACGGATCTCTTCCTGCATAATTACAAAGTGTTCTGCAAATTCAAATCGGCAACCTGTTTAAAACTTATGCACAGGCAATGACTGTGGGCCCCTTCCTCCTGCCTTAAATACAATACTAATCTGTTTTTCCCTTGCTTATGCATTTAACAGATATATATTTTTTCCACCCTCCTGGAAAACTAACTCACTTAGCCCCAGGGCTGTCGTGGTTGATTTCTTCACAAGAAGACCAGAGCTTCAGAAACCAAGAGAGGTTTCCAAAGAAACGCTTAGGGGAAAAAAAAAAATCTGTGCACAGGTGAGAGTAGGCCTCCTCATACCCACTTGTCAAATGCAATCTCCACCAGGCGTGATGGTTCTATTCAGTCTGCGGTTTGGCAAGTCTGGGGAAAGCGCTCCTGCCGCTGAGCCAGTGAGATGGAGGATTAAGTCAGGGCACCCTGACAGCAAAGACCAGCTCCCACCGGTAGGCTATGGAAGTGTTCGCCTCCCCGACATTTTGTTGTCTCTGCTCTGCAGGGCACAGAAGTATTAAACAGTCATGGCTGGATTTTCCTCCCACCATGTGCATACGGTGGGAAGGGAAGGATTTTGGAGCTCAGACATGCCCAGAGGTTACAGGACTTGCTGCTAATCACAGCGACTAGAAACAGCTCAGCTAGAAACATCCCCAAGCCCCCTATCCCCACTCCTGTGTGAGCCCACTCTCTTCATGACTGTGCAGGGTCAGAGTGCTGCTTGCTGGCCTCCTTCACCCTGGAAGAGGCTCCTGTCCCCTGGGGAAGGTGGCTCTCCTGAGGTCCACTGTGTCATGGTAGGAGGCATTAGGGAGGCAGGCAGAGTGAGGCCAAGGAACAGTCAGCAAAATCCTCTGACTGAGGCCAACAACCCTCTCCAGACCTGGGGAAGGAACGCAAGTAACAGCCCCTCTGGTCTCCACATTTCTCGTCATGCTCATGGGGGTGATGAGAAGGTGAGACCCTCAGTGTGGCTCTGCCCCCTTCTCTGCACACAGACATGCCCGAGAAATGCCAGGCTGGGCTTTCTTTCCATCCCTCCTGCCTTCGTAAAATGCTCTTAATGTCCATAAATTAAGTACACAAAATGGGGCAGACACTCCCCCACAAAAAGGGAACAAGACTGAGGCCTAAATTTGAAAGAAAATGTTTTGATCCTTAAAAAAAAAAAAAATGACAGTAATAGAGGTGCAGGTTGACAAAACCAAGTCAGGATGAAGCATGGAATGTATTGTTTTAAAAGGTGGCATTTCTCCCAGGTTGCTTCCAGGTCCAGCCTGGAACTACCCCCTCACACGAAGCTATGTGTCCCCTGCACTTGGAGAGCACCTGGCACCCATGTTACTGCTAGCCACACAGCACCCACCTGCCCCAGAGGCTAATCCCTGCTTCTGGAACAGCGGCACCCTCACACTGAGAATCTAGCCAAACCCTTTCTGCTCAGGAGACCAGGGCACCTGTGACTAATCTGCTGCTCAAGGAGAACAAATTAAGCATCACTGGATCTTTCAGTGATACTCCTCCTTGGGTGTTGTCAGCAAACGGAACTGCAGAAAGCCAGCACTTCCTCTCACCCATTGGGGGTAGTGTCCAAGGGAAGCTGAGGGGCAGGATGGAGGAAACAAGGCAAAGTGGAGCCCCAGTGTAGGGTCCAGTGAGCCCTGGGAACCGCAACAGTGGAGCTCCGGGCCACAAGAAAGGATCGTTGGTTCTGGAAGGGTCGTCGGCCGACAGGCACATCCGCCCCCGCAGCAAGGGGAGATGTAGATGGGAGAGCAGAGCTGGGGTAGTTTCCTCCCCCAAGAACTAGAGTTTCCCTGCCCCCTGACTCCAGAAGGGTCCTCTTCCAGCCCAGCCCAGCCAACCCAGAATCAAAAGAAATGTAGGCGCCTACCCTGGCGAGGAAGTGAAATCATCATCATCTGCAGATGATGTGTGTTCTGCAACCGTCCAGGGCCCGGGGGGTTCATCGTTGGCTCAGGCAGCTTAAAAGAAAAACTTGGAGCCCTTGGCATCATCCCCACAGGTTTTTCAATAGTACGCGGGGGAAACAGCCAGCATGGAGACAGCAACGTGGGCCCCCTGAGATTCTCTACATGCTCTCTCCTCTGGGCTTCCTCTTGCAGCGTGGCTGGTCCTCTCGTGGCGCTCTCCACCTCACCGTCTCTGAGTAATGCTGCCCTTTATCCCTGACCTCCTAGGCTCAGGTGTGCACACTCACACATGCCCACACCATACTCCAGGTGTCCGCCATCAGGCATGCGTGCCCTGAGCCCAGCTCCCAAGCACCTCCTGCATTCAAGGCTGCAGGTGATAGTCACAGAGGCCAGCGGCACAAAAGCCTGACCAATCTTCATGCACCCTACATATGTGATATACAGAAAACCCCAAAGACTCTGCAAAAGCAACATATAGATTCCATACAATCCCCATTAAAATTTCGACTATATTCTTCAAGGAAATAGAACAACAAAACACTAAAATTTATATGGAGCCATCAAAGACCCTGAATAGCAAAAGCCATCTTGAGAAAAAAGAAAAATGGAGACATCGTGTCACCTGATTTTAAACTATATTATTGTAGGGTGAGGTAAAAAAAAAAAAAAAAGGCATCAGGCTTTTCTGCCTTCCCGCCATTTGGATTGATGACAAAACTCTGTGGTCCTGAATGCATGCCTGATGGCGGGCACCTGGAGTAGGGTGTGGGCATACGTAGGTGGGTGCACCTGGGCTGAGAGACTGGGCTTATAAGGGCGGCATCACGGGGACGCCAGCAGAGAGAGGAACAGAAGCGCAAAAGGAGCAGAATCACCAGAAGAACCAGAAGCGAGAGAGCCCAGAAAGAGTGAAGACTTGCTGGGGGCTGGAAGGTCTGCCAGCCTCCTGGCCCCCCTGGCACCCCTGGCTGCCGTGTACCTGGTAAATCCCAATAAAAGCCTGCAAAAGCCACCGAGGGTTCCACGACTCTCCTATACCCTGTCTGCTCCATTCATAGACAACCTGCCTTGTGGCCTTTCTGCCACTACAATTATAAAGCAACAGTAATTAAAACAATATGGTATTGGAATAAAATAGACACAGCAATCAATGGGACAGAATCAAAAACCCAGAAGTAAATCCACACACACATCAAAACCTAATCTAGGACAAAGCAGACATGATCCTAAAAATGGAGAAAGGAGACTCTCTAACAAATGGTACTGGAATCTCTAACAAATGGCCAGCACACGTTAAAGAATGAAGCTGGATCACTCCCTAACTCCATGGACAAAAGAAATTCAAAATGGATTAAAGACTTGGATGTAAGACCTGCAGCAATAAAATACATAGAAGAAAGTTCTGGTGGTGCCTTTGGAAACTCAATCTCTACAGCAAGGGAAATTAAAAACAAAAATAAAACATTGGAACTACCTTAAATTAAAAAACTTTCACACGAAGAAACTGCTAGCAGATTAAAAAGACATCTACTGAATGGGAAAAGATATTCACACA